ACTTAGCACGTCTGTATTTTCTCCTTGCAATTTAGTGATAAAAAACACAGTGAATATACCTTTTCACTTTTTGAAGTACACATAACACTCGGATTTAAATCCGAGGTTTTCGCATTTATTTTTAATAGGATCAAGATGAGTAGTAGAGTTTAGCACAAGACAACAGAACCATCCTATCCTGTGCCCAGCTCTGGTGATAAGTAGAGACTACTGTCAAGTATTATTGTTGGTATCATGAAAGGAATTTTACCGGTTATTAATTAGGACAAAATACATGTGCAGTTTTTCATAGATAATTTTTCGTTATCATCCAAGAAAGTAACAATAAGAAATCAAAACGAACTTTATGAATGATACTATATATTGATGTACATAATAGAAAATAGTTAGTTTTAAAGTCAATAGTTACAAAATTTCGAATTTTCTAAATATGAAATACTAGCTAGTTAATACGCAAAAAGTTGTAATTGTGCATGCATTAATATAGTATGAGGTGTAAACTTTATGTTAATTTCTTTAGTGAGGGGGAAAAAATTAGCTTGACAGTAGTATTTGTTTACGTTGTCCGTATGAAAAACAAACACTAAATAAGCTTCTATCAATAAACAAAATAAATCAAATCAAATTATTCAAGCAAACCGAAATCACGATATGTCGAATTTTTATCGTAGTACTATTTATCATTCATTTTACCATTAAAAAAAATCTTCTATCTAAACACTTGATATTCGATATAATTATTTTATGATAAATGAAAATAAATTTTTTTTTTCTTATAACTAGATGATGGTTATACTATGGCTCATCTAGCCGCTAGTCGAGGACATGGTGAATGTTTTTCATGTTTGATATATCATGGTGCTCAACTTGATGTATATACATTTGATCGACATGAATCTGTTATGGATATAGCTAAACGTAGTGGTAAATATGGTCGAATTGAAAAAGCTCGTAAGTTTAATTTAATTCGAAGTGAAAAATTAAAAACAAAAAAATAAATATTCATAGATTCTGGTACACTTCGTTGTAATTCTTGTGAAGAAAAATCAGCAAAAGAAAAATATGATAAATCTCATTCACGTAATGCTGTTGAACAACTTATTCATACACAAATACAGCGTGGTTATAATTTAAATATACCTACAAATCGTTCTTCTACTAATTTAAGGTCTGTTATAAATTATTATTTATATATATATTCGATTCAATAAATTAATTATTACTTTTTTTTTTTTTTTCTTTTCTAACAGCCAACGAAACCGTCCGGTAATTTAATTAAAAACAGATATTTTCTTCGTCTTCATTGATATGACATTATTTTTTTCTCATTATGCACAACCGATATTTTACCAATTATAATACATTATACTATTTTTCTCTCTTTATTGTCATGATTTTTTTCTCTTATCATATGTATACACAATTAACAGCAAACATTCGACGCTTTGTCTACCTTGAGGAAGAAACAAAATAATCGATGCGTAACACTCTTATTTGGTAATCATCAATGCATCGGTTTTTTTTTCTTCTTAAATAGACCTTTTTTTCTTTCTTTCTCTATTCTTGTTGCATTGTATTTTATTTTATATTTTTGTCTGAAATAAATTGTTCGTTCTCATTTGCATGACATTACCTTTTTTTTGTTATCTTCTGTATGCATCAATGAACAAAGAACAATTTTACGTTCATTTACTTATTATATATTTCTCTATTCACAGCCATCATAGACGTATTATATAATGTTACAAAAAGTAAAAATAATACTAATAAATAATTTTTAAACAGTCGAATATATTTTTATTGCTTACGTTATGGTGTTTGTAAATGTAGTCTAACTCTTTTGTTTTTGTAAAGTCGAGCTTTTACTAACATTTGCTTTGATTTATATTCATATATCATGATAATAGATAAATGAAAACAAAATATTACAGCTGCTATGTCTGTGTTTGACTAATTTGAATTTATAAATGTATTTGAAAAGCTTAGTGTGATGTTTTTCTTTTTTCTCAAGGCTAAAGTTGAACCACTTTCGTCTCATGCATCAAATAAACATTTGACATTATCTCGATCTCAGATATTAAAAGAACAAATTCATGTTGTATCAGGTTGTTCGACTAATATTTTATCGTCAATTGGTATTATATTTCTTAATAAATATATTTTTTCACATTGTCAAATACAAACAATGACATTAACAGCTATACAAATGGTATTTACATCAATAGGTTTAATTATTTGTTTACAAATGAATACATTTGTTCGTAAAAAAGTTGCTATCATAAAAGTCTTACCATTAGCTATATCATTTTGTGCTTTTGTTGTTTTTACAAATTTATCATTAGAATATAATACAATAGGTACATATCAATTATTTAAAGTTTTAACAACACCTGTTGTTGCAGTTATATCATGGCAATATTATAAAACAAAATATTCGAGAATGGTTATTATAACGTTAATACCTGTTGTTATTGGTGTATGTACACATTCAGTTAATGATATTAAATTAACATTATTTGGTACAATGGTAGCATCAATTGGTGTTATATCAGCATCACTTTATCAAGTTTGGATTGGTGAACATTTAAAAGAATTAGATATGAATTCACAACAATTACTTTTTTATCAAGCACCTTTATCAGCTATTTTACTTGCACCTTTTATTTTTTATATGGAAAGTTTTCCATCGTATAGAACACATGAAGAAAAACAAGCAGCATTAACTGCTATAATAGCTTCTGGTATTACAGCTTTTGTAGTTAATTTATCCGTTTATTGGGTTATTAAAAATACGTAAGTGAATTTATATTTCGTAATTAAACTAGAATATATATATATATATATATTTATAATAATAGATCTGCATTGACATATAATATGATTGGTCATATGAAAACAGTTTCAATTCTTGTTGGTGGTTATATGCTTTTTAAAGATAGTCTTAATTTTAAACAATTAATTGGTATTTTACTTACATTATCTGGTCTATTCTCTTATACATTTGTTAAAATGGGTGAACAAAATCAATTACCATGTAAACGTTGGAATGCATATCCAGTAACAACTATTGTTTAGAAATTACAAAGACATACATTTATATTTAATTATGATTTCTAACGTTGACTTGCTATTTCATCGACTATATCCATCATTATATTTATTTTCAAGTTAATTATCGGTAAAGTCGTCTGTTTGTTCTGAAGAAATATTCAAATGACTAATTTACTATGATATTAGCTAAGATAAGCTCTTTAAAAATATAACACAGTGAACAAGAGCAAAAAAAAAAGAAACGAAATTCTACAAGAATATTTATTGCAAATAAATACTCATGCATTTTTCAAGATACTAGAAAATTAATATCATGATTATTTTCTATAGGCTGTTGTACAGTGAGTGTATTGGCTAATCATTGTTTTAATTATTTAAAGACTTTTATTCTAAGTTTATTTAATTATCTCTTAAAAAGGAATTGATCATATATGTAGATTTTTGTATTCAATGATCTTCGATCGGTGAATATTGAATATTGCGCGATAACTTTTATCAATTGGAAAAATACTCTTTTTTTTCTTTTCTACTCTTCCATAGTGTTTTCTACTTGCTGACACTTATGTGTAAGAAGGAATATTTCTAAAAGTCTAGTTACTTTTCGCTTGAGTCTATTGCCATTCGATTGGTTATGATGAATAATAAAAAATTCTGTTGTGATTTGGTTTTCTGGTTTAAGATATTTACATTTTAAAGATATGTTTATTTTGTATTGTATTTTAGAAGAACGTTTCTGTTATAAACTGATATCTTGATACGGATATATTTTCCGTGATTATAAGATCTATCTATGAACAAAATTCAGCTCAAAATATGATGAATTGAGTTTTCAGCAATTCTATGCTCCTAGAAGAAAAATTAGATAAAACGTCCATAACTCAACCAAAGAAGATCAGAAAACCAAATTAAAATAAACTTTTTTACTACACATATCTTGAAAGCAACATTTTATATGGTACCTATAAACAGTTTCAATACTGTAAGAAATAACAGTTACTATAAAAGTTCCTCAAAAAAAAAAAATATTCATTCAGAATCTACATTGAAAGCGCTTTCTAACTCTATGTTCATAAAAGTTCTATTATGTCTTGCGTACGGGCAAAGTCTTAAACAACACTAAAATATTTCTAGTTAGTACTTGAATTTAGTCTAACTCTCAAAATCCTTTGCAAGAAAACTAACGCTACGATTATTCTTTTTATGAGAAAATTCTCCTAATGATAATAGCTATTTCTTCTTCCGAAGACGAAAAGAGCGTGGATCATTAACTTCTAACACCACTGAACATGATCAATTTTCGATCAATGTAGTCGGAGAAAAAAGTCCTGACATATATGAAATAAATTATTTTTTGTTTTTCTTAAAATAAATTTTTACACAAAAAAAATGCAGATTAGCCCCCCCCCCCCCCCCCCCCCCCCCCCCCCCCCCCCCCCCCCCCCCCCCCCCCCCCCCCCCCCCCCCTCCCCCCCCCTCCCACCCCCCGCCGCCCCCCCCCCCCCCCACACCTCACCCCACC